CACTTGGTGATGGTAGCCCAGCTTCACGTTACCTGGGAAGAAGCCTTGAGGCCACAGGGGCCTCATAATCTCCCCATTGAGCTCCTGGATTCAGCATTTGGGGGTAATTTGGGTTAAAGGCAGCAGCAAAGCACCCAGAGTCCGTTTGCCACCTCTCCCAGCTCCTGGGTCCTTGAACCGCAGCCAGCACCTCCATCTGTCCGGCAGTGGGGAGAAGAATGGAGCGGTGCCTCTAGGGAGCCATGGCGACTACCTGGGGCTGGGTCGGGTATGAGTAAATGAGTGAAATACCGCAGGAATCAGGAGGAGGCTACCAGCTGCAACCTAAGGAACTGCCTGGGAGCAGGAAGTGGAATCAGGACACTAGGCAGTTCTCTGTGCAAAGATACTTCCTTATCATCTCACTTGAGTCTCCTGATACCACAAACAACTCCGTATCTAGGGCTCCACTGTGGGCCAAGCACAGGCAGCCTCAGCATTTTCCAACCTCCCACCCCACGCTCTGCAGCCCAGGGCCGATGCAGTCCATTCAGCTAGGGCCAGGCTGTTGGGCATGGCTGGGAACTTCGGATGCAAATGTTCCAGAGGCCAAGTGCAACTCCCGCTCATTTCAGGGGTTTCATTGACAAGAAGGCCCTTCTCTTGGAAATGTGAAGACTGGGGCAATGGAAAGGCCAGCACTGAGACCCAGGTGTATCAGTCCAGCTATGCCACCCACTGTGTGAAGTTCCGCAGGTGAAGAGCTGGCTTCAGGCCCCTTGTGACCTTGTCTTTCCTCAACAGTTTGGCCTGCTTGAAAGTAACTTCATGAGGGAGAGAGAGAGAGGGGCTGGGAAGGGTCCCTGGAGGTCAATGTGAAATATGACTCCCAGGTGTTCATGGGTCTCTCCAAAAACCTTGCTTTGACCCCTTCCAAGAGGTGACCACCTGCCCGGCCTCCACCAAGTAGAGATGGTTAGAGCAGCTGGGGCCCTGAATCCTCACCCCTTTTGCTCATACCCCGCTTGCTCTGGCCTCTCTGGCACCCTCCTCTCTGCAGCAGCGGCCCAGGGCAGTGGGGTTCTTTCTGCCTCTAGAATGGCAGCTCCTGACAACCCCTCCCTGCTCACCCTGAATAGCATCTGTTTCATTTCTCAAGATTTCTAGGAAACTCTCACACCCTATGCACCCCTGGACATACATAACATGGCCTGGTCGTCCTCTGAAGGGTCACCCAGGGCTCCAGAGGCCTGCTGCTCCTTGGGACAGGGGGGTGGGGTGCTCACCTCATTGGGCTCATAAAGGGACTAAGCATTCCCTCTACCCCTCCTCTCTCCTGCCACCTGGAAAAATTAGGAGCAGGCATGCCTTTCTCAAACTGCTGGGGAGAACACTGTGCATTCTGAGTAGAACAGTTAGGAAGGTGTCCCTTCCTCCAGGCTTATGCCACAGCATGACTTGGTGAATGAGGCTAGGGCTGAATTCCAGCCCACCTCCCAGCACCCCAACTGGGCACCCCAGGCAGTCATGGCCGCATGGCCCTGGGGTGCCTAGACCCTGGGAATCCAAATGAATTATTGTATCTCCCTCATTTAGTCCTAGATGCCATATCTGTGCTCCAATAGCTTCTTCTATAAAGCAGGGTTTTTAAACTTATTTTTTGCTAACTCAGCTAAGTTCAGTGGGAAGCAATAGTAATTGTTTTCATCTACTAAACTCCTACAGCCGTTTACTGTACACCTCATGGGATCCTCCAGAACCCCTCTGACAGGAGATAATAAGATCTCTTTCATAGGTGAGCGCCCTCCAGTGACTGGCTGAGGTCACAGGGTCTGTTGGCTCCTCTCTTGAGTCCCTTCCTTCCCTCTCTGCCCCTCTCCTAGGTCACTGCCTCTGGGCCCTCCACCCCACCCCCAGGGCTGCTGCTGAAATTCATCCCTTTTGTTCTGGGCCCTCCTGCTTCTGGCTGCATGCTCTTCCCAGAAAATTCTCTTGCCCCCTGGCTCGCCTTGCAAACTGCTTCTGCTACTCTCTCCAGAATGTACAAGAAAGGAGAGGGGAGAGTAATCTCTTCCATTTGTGTCTTGTTTTTATTTTGCAGATAAAAATAAAAATCAGTTTCGTGGGAAAAGTCAGCCGCCTTAGGAAAAACTTGATATCTGACTTAGGATCTCATAAAACAATATGTAGGTGTCACCAGGGACTTCCAGATACGCCTCAAAGGGGATCTGCTTCCTTCTTCTTAAGCCTGGGTTTAAAAACAATAATTTATAGTGAGTGGCTCTGGCAGTGGATACCATCAGCTTCCCTACTGGACCATTGAGTTTTCTGTTTGGTCATCAGTTGTAATCAGTTCCTGTTCAGAAGCCCCTCATAAAGACTCCAGAGAACTCCGAGGCTCTGGGGGAACGAATGCCCAGTGGGCAGGGAGGGGCCCTGGACACCGGCAGTGCCCTGCTTCAGGGTCAGGTTCATTGTAGCAAAGCCATCCCATGAAGTCCCTCTTACTACCAAAGGAACTCAATGCGGAATGCAGGAGTGCTCGCTCAGAGGGCCCCCACCCTGTAAAGAACCGTTCAGATTTCCAGATATTCCAAAAAGTCTGCAAACACGACTGGCTGAACCACGAAGAGATGCCTGGCAAGGTGGTGCTTGCCTCTACCACCTCCCACGAACGTATCAAGAAAGGATGAGAAACCAAGATCACGTGCCCCTTGAAAGGGTGGTGGGATGGCTTTGCTACAATGAACCTGACCCTGAAGCAGGGCACTGCAGGTGTCCAGGGCCCCTCCCTGC